TTATAATATTCATCTGCCATTTGCTCCACATTCTTCCATAGGAATCGCATGATTATACATTCGAAGAGAAGGATGGTTAGAGTGTTGAGTCAAATTGAAACGGTAAAAAATAAAATAATACTTATATATTTTTACTTATTAAATTATTTATTTTTTTACTATTTTAATTTGACCGAACACCACAACCATCCTTTCTTCAATTATTCACTACAGTCAACCATAAACAAACCATTCGGTTTCTCTGGTTAATTTTAAACATTGTTATGATAGCATCGATTTCATTTTTCATGCTCATCTATTGATAATATGTTCATAATTGGTAAATGGTTGACTGTCGTGGATAATGAAGAGAAGAATAGTTGGGGTGGTCAGTCAAAAAAGAAGGCAAAAATAAATGATAATATTTATTTTTACATATGCCGACGTTTCGACCTGAAGTTCAGGCAACCATCAGGGCTAAGAAAAGAACCAGATAACACAAGGTATGAGAAATATAAAAATTACAGTAAAATGAAGGTATATGTAAAAATAAATATTACCATTTATTTTTGCCTTCTTTTTTGACTGACCACCCCAACTATTCTTCTCTTCATTATTGATAGTATGATTCGAGGAAAACTTTCATGTTTGAAATGGTTATACCGTAGGTGGGTAAAGGTCGGATAACAGTTATGTCAAAATTCACCTTTCAAACTTCTAGAGATCAATTTACTTGAAATTTGATTCTCCTTCCAAAGCAATAATTCGTGGATGTGATTAATGATAGTTCTGTTAATTTTTATCTTCATTCTATCATCACACACTGCAAACCTGACAATTTCACAATTATTACTAAATTAATAACTTTTACTCATTTCGCATCTTCTTTTCAGAAAATTGAAAGTTAAAACCTATAAAACAATTAATATAATAACTGAAGTTTTTTAATCTGTTATCAGTTTTTTTTTTGTTGATTTCTTTTAGGAAATAACAATTTCTTTAAAATCTAAAAATATCATTTAAGGAAGATAGATACTAAAGGAGTACTTGTAAGGATAAGATGGTCTAATTGCTTACATGCTCTAGGCTGCACAGGTAATTATACCTTAATTAAAAGCGTCCGAGCGAGTGAAACGACCGTGTAAAGTCCCTGCTATAGATAAAAAAATGAATAACTGAAAAGATAAAGATACAGAGCATTTTCTCACATACTGAGGAAAAAAATCTGAGTAGCAAAGCTCCTTTAAAAGTTTTATTTTTTACATTTTTCGAATCTAATTTACTGAAAATTGTGAAAATTAAAAAAAATAATGACTAGATCGTTAAAAGAAATGTTTACAACACTTAACTCAATTTACATAAACCTTGTGGATGTGAGGTTTTTAGATATATCACGGAATAAACTTAATTTAAAATTGTTTTTGGATGAATTTTTTTTCATTGAAATTAGTATTATTTGAAAGAAGACAGAATATGTAGAATTAAAAAAAAATATATATATATACATGGCATAGCGATGGCGAGGAAGAAGAAGACATATATATATACCTCTTCACATTAAAACAAACTTTAAAAATCTGTACTACTAAATCCATGAACAGTTTTGGGCTCAGTACTTTGTAAGGAAGTACTATTTCAGGGCCAACGGTTGTGCAGGAAGGTGATCAAGACGAGATCGTGTTTAATCGCCAGGTTCCCCCCTTACTTGTTTTTCTATATATTTATGATATTTACAATTGTATTAAGAATTAAAATACACTAAGTAAATGTCATAACAGAAAATAATAAACATGAAAACACTTGTTGAGAAATTACTCACTGGCAGTACTCTAAAAAAAATGCATTTGCAATAGGAGATCTCGAGGCCATGTTCTTTTCAGACGCCTCGCAGGAGACCCCCTAAATAATTAATTAAGAATGCTCCCTTGTGTGCCCCAGGAGGGTCTCCAGATTCCAGGATCGAATTACGCCTGATGGAAAATTACTTATCACTAGCCAGATTCGAAACTTAGGACCATGAGATTTGGAAGTCACTACTTACCTAACCTACTGAGCTACTCCGCTTTCAAAAACATAACAAAAGGAATTCTTAATATTTTTTAGATATTTCATTTTTTATAAGCCAATTTCCTTTATTTTATACAAGAGAACATTCCTGAAAAATTATAGGTGTAACTTCGAAAATAAAATATGTAAAAATAAATAAAAATTGGTAGGTTTCTTATTGCTTATTGGGTTCAATTAATCCTGCAACCTAGTCGTAGACTAGTGTTCCCCAAATGCGAGATTGAGACTAGTCTTGGTCTTGCAAACTCAGTTTTGGTCTAGGTCTTGGTCTTGCGCAAGAGCCTCGCAACGGTCTTGCAGTTAGTTACCTATGTGTTTTTTTAGATAGGAGAAACCTAACTAAGCCCGAATGAAAAATTAAAAGATTTAAATGCCAAAATATATTAGTTATACCAATTCTTTATATACATTAACTAAAATTGACAAGCATTAGAAACTATTTTGCCTTAATTTTTATTTAAAAAACTCGATTTTTTTTACCAGTCTTGGTCTTGGTATTGCAAAGCGCAAAACCAAGACCGATTTTGGGCAAAACTACTGTAGACGGATGCATCATGGTGTATCTCACGTAGAAAATAAAACATCAGTCTAATTATTTGTTTTAAATCAATTGAATTATATATATTTATATATATATATATATTTTATAATTCAAAGATTCTATAATGTTACTCGAATACTGGATGTGACCTACCCCTAAATACCACAACATAGACCACCAACCCTTCGACATCTTATCAGAAGAGAAGTTATCTGGATGGAGTTTTATTGTGTGTCGTGATCCTCTGTTCACAAGGCCCAAGAGATTGCTTATCTCTAATAGATAGCGCTACCAGTTTTCTGGGGCTATAGGGCAGTTCTGGCTGTCGGGTTTGGTTTGATCTGTTCTCAGCGAGGATATCAACCATCTTCGTTTCGAGAACAAGGGTAAAAAGTGATAACTCGTGTTTTAAAAGAACTAATTTACAATAAGGGAAAAAAGATTTAAAAAACAATTAAAATTGGCCAAGATTTAATTTTACAGGCCTATATATGAAATATATATAGGTCATTGCTTATCTAATAGCCAGTTCTAATATATGGCTGTGAGACCTGGATACTAACCAGCACCCTAGAAAAAAGTACTATAAGATTAGAGGAAAATCCTCCGCACTATAATCGGAGCTATCTAGGATTACTACCGCATGGAGGATAAGGAACAAGAAAGAACAGGTTACAGAAACTGGTCAATCAATATCTCATGATATGAAGGCACGGAGGTTAAGATGGACGGGGCATGTAGCTTGTAGCAAACATCTGGAAGCCTCTATTTAACAATGAATGCCTCAATAGAAAGCAAAAGACAAAATCAGATGGATAGATAGAATCAACAAAGATACAATAGAGCTGAGTGCGGATAACTGGTAAGAAATAGCCCAAGAAAGGCAGAGATCCAAGTTTTCAACGGAAATACTTAAATTGAGGTCCTAAGAACCAAGTTTCGTAAAATGGTGTGTGTGAATCTGAATAGTCCACCTCAGAAACAAAAAAAAAAAACACGCAAATAGTGTATTTATAGTACATGCATGCCGGGGACAGAATTTATTTTTTGTCAAAATCGGCTAAACGCCAATATATAATTAAGTGTACGTATGTCTTATCTTCATTTTTGCAATTTCCAAAATAAAATAAAGAACCTTTAATATAGATTATTTGAAATAATTAACAGTCTCTCGTTGTACGTTATAATAAGATATGACTAAATAAACAAAGAATTTGATAATAAACAATAACATAGACAAAAAAAAAAGACAACGACTTTGTTGAAATAAGCGTGGTTATATATTTATGAAATATCTTCGGAAAGTTTAATAATACAAAAGAATTAATATCTAACATATAACATCGCAGGAGATAATGAATAATAATTTATTAAAACAAATATTTCCGTAAGTTAATAGAAAGTGAAAGAAAAATTCAAAAGAAAAATAACTATTGAGTAATAAGGGAGAAAAATTGAAATAAAATGTACATAAAATATATATATTGAAATAAAATATATATATAAAGTGTATATATATATATATATATATATATATATATATATATATATATATATATATATGATATATTTTTATTTCAATTTTTCTCCCTTATTACTCAATAGTTATTTTTCTTTTGAATTTTTCTTTCACTTTCTATTTATTAACTTTCGTTCAATTTTCCATAATTTTTCTAAAAAAATATTTCCGTAGTTCGACAAACCAAAAATATATAATGCATCGTTCTGCCATTGTTTAAAAACTACTTTTTCGATATTTTGTTTTAGAGGAATAATTAAACAAAATATGTTATTTTCCAAAAAAACTTTTTACCTTACCGACGACCTCAAGATTTACGATAAATTGTTAATGCTTAATTACAAACTCTGAACATACGCTTCTAGATTAACATTTCCTATTCATTTGTTACCTTCAAATAACATTATCTGATCCACCATAATTAGATTTCAAATGATATAATTATACAATTCCCAGATAAATATATGAATAAAAACCAGAGAAAAAAAAGAAAGGATTTAAAAATAAAATAAGAATGAAATATTCTAACATAAAAAAGTTCCTAGCATAACCTTAAAGTTAAATTAGACGGAATTCCTTTAGAGGAATTAATTGCTGAATAATTCTCTTATCAGGAGAGGAGCCATCTTGAAATACTGAGAAAACACTTCAGAAGAAAAAGAGACCCTTCTTTTAAAAAAAACCGCGACGGCAAAAGACGCGATTCCTTAAAGGAAGGACGAAATGCAGACAAAGACGATGCATTATACAAAACTGCGATCCTAATTAAAGACGGCTTCTACCTACTACACGGTCACCGACATATTTAAATAAATAACAGGTTATGAAACAATGGAGGTGTTTAGCAACTGCTAATAAATATTACATAGAAGGTGTAGCAGAGTGTGTTGCGATATGCTAATGGTGTTAAGTCTTCGTCACAATAGAGCTTACCACGCGGCGGCTTTGCTGTCTCCAAGTAATATCCTACTGGTACAAGTATGGAAGTAGAAATTATTGCATACTTGCAACGTAAAGATGCTTTACGAAATAGGTGATTTGCAGCTTTTCGATTTTTATGCAAAATACGCTGTAACATTCCATGAATATAGAGTAAAAGCACCATAACATGCTTAATGTGTTTGAATTTTACATGTAAAAATTTAAATATTGATGTTATTAAATTTTTTGCGGATTCATCTTTTAGAACTATTTTTCACCTTACCAAGATATATATCAAATACATGATACATTTATCTAAATTAAAAAAAAAAATGAAAATTAAGAGGATAGTTTTGTTGTACCAGTAGCTACCATTGTTAGATTTAATAAGTTCCTATAGCTGACAGATGAGAAAAAGGATGCAATTAAGATAAATTTCATATTCTTCATTTTTAGATTAACAAAAGTTACCTTTAACTTAATGTAAAACTAATTTCTTGCGTTTCTCGAATTAAATTTATCAATAAATGCTGGTGAATCCTATCCGCCAATATCTCTTCACTTCTCAGAACCAGACTTGGACTTCCTCCTAGACAAAAGACTGACTTGGAACCCACCTACCAAAGTTAAAAGACAAGAACTTAACCGACTATTTGGCCAGCTAAATGGACTACTGAACAGAAACTCACATCTTTCAATCGAAAACAAACTACTACCACACAAGACCATAATATACAAACCCATCTGGACCTATGGACTCGAACTGTGGAGGACAGCTAAATCTTCGGACATCATTTTCCAATCCTTTCAACCCAAAGTCTTTCGAATAATAATCAATGCTCCATACTAAGTCATAAATAAAACCCTACATCATGATCTCAACATCCCCTTTGTCCTTGATCTAATTCCATCCAGATTCTCAAACTTCCATCAAAAACTTATCCATCATCCTAATCCCTCTTCAGCTCCAACCATACATATATAACCCTCCACGAAGGTTGAAAAGGCAATGGTCCCGAGACCTTTTTTAAATAAGCTATTGGAAATCTGGCAGTGGCCAGCTTCCCCGCTCCAGTCCTGAGTGTTCTCAGGCATGCTTTGCCTCTCACATGAGAGCGGCAAAGCATAGTTCAGGGTTCTATAGGCTGAATGTAAATATTTTATGCAGGGATGAGTGTGACAAGTAATTTATTTTAGATTACCAATTTAATGTATTTTTTTTCTCTATTTCTTTTTACAAGTATCTCATATTTTTGTTATTATTTTATTGTATATATTTTTTACGTAAATGTTTTCTTCTTATTTCTTTTTTCTCAATTTGTATATAATAGTATGAATGTAGAAATACAGCCTTAATCCCGAATGCCCTTGATTGCGGCAGATTGTATTATTATTCTTCCAATAAAAAGTTTATAAATAAATAAATTCTGGTCACTGTCATGATCCTGTTTTTGGCAATAGGAAAGTCTGATTTTGCTTTATATTTAATCCAAATCATCAGCAATTTTTTTTTTACCAGACAGTAGTGAATGGTCCAATTTTTAAGACACGTTATATTGAGTATCGAGTATATCTCTTTGAATTTATGAGAGTAGAGGCCTGTTAACTACTGGCCCTAGTTATAATGCTCTAATAGCTTACACCCATTAAATATCCAATTCCTTCATCAAGATAACTTAAAAACAATCAAACAAAAATTTGGGATAATAAAATTGAGTAGTTAAAGAGAAAAAGGAAAAGCTAAGGTTTGGTTCTCTTCCTGACAGGTGGTTGTTCCTGGGACAATAAGTGGACCGTAGGGGACCTTCCTAATTTGCCACTTATTATTTCGGTTACGATTTTCGGCAAGTCTGAAGAAAATCTGACAAAAATAAAAGGAGAAATTATAGAAACTAAAAATATATGAAATAGAGATCAAGGAGGTCCAGAAATTTTATTATTTCAATTTTTCGAAGAGGGTGTCAGGAATTGGTACACTGTCAGCTATTGCTGTCTTTACCCTTCTCACTTAAAATACATAATTTCAGATTCGTACATTTTTTATTTATTTATTTCTTTTGAGTTATGTATCATGTTCGAAATACTTTCTCTTACTATGTACTTCAAATATATGTAAGCGAAAGTAAAAATGTAAAGGTATATAAAATCATTTATTTAGTCCGCGATACAAAGCCCTATTTATAAAATGATTAACAAAACTTCATCTCATCGTAACCCAAAAATGGGTCGTTTTCTCATTAAACGAATTAATTTAATGAGGTAATAAAAACTAATGAATACCCATTTGTTTTCCACTTGAATCGTAAAATAATTTTATTACATAACCGAGAAAAAAAAAGGAGGCCTACAAAAATATTGGTTTTTTTGGCCACTAAAAACCTTTCTATTTTCACATCGGGAATGAAAGTCCAATATTTTTGTAGGCCATGTTTTTCTTGTTTTCGTTATTGAATTATTTTACTAGTCCGTGGTACTATACCCTTTTTATCCAAATTATTAACCTCCACCCGAAACTTCGTAAATAGCTCCATCTCATCGTAATCAACAAATATTTTATTTAAGAAAATTCTCGGAATTGGAGCGTTTTCGATCTAGAGATCGGCCAATTTTGTCTATTTAATTAGGTACTAAAAACTCATGAATACTCATTTGCTTTCCAATTAAATCGAAAGATAATTTGATTACAAAATCACGAAAACATTTTAAAAATATTGAGCTGTTAGGCGTGACCTACTCCCCAAAAATGTCAAAAAAGTTAAATAAGAGCCCCAATATTTTTGTAGGCCACCTTTATTTCTCTATTTTTTTTTATCAAATCATCTTACAATTCAAGTGGAAAAAAAATGGATATTTACGAGGTTTTAGTCCCTAATTAAATAGATAAAGTTTTCCCACCTCCAAATTGAAAACGACCCAATCCCAAGAGTTTTCATAAATAAAATAGTGGGGGATTACGGTGAGGTGATACCATATATGTCGATTTAATATAAAAAGTTTAAACTAGCTACTTTAAATGCGTAATTTAAGTCCTCTTAGTTTTGAGATAGACCGTTTACATACTATCGTACTGTTTAAACAATGAAAGTGCTGCGACAGTTCTTTCATGACAGCGAATCTATCAAATTATCTGTAATAGAATCTAAGTATAGATAGCATCTACAAAAGAATTAGGTTTCACACTGCCCTCGTCGAGGCCTATATTTGCTTTCATGTCAAAATGCCATGTATAATTCATGGCAACATGTAAATGACAACCTGGCATTGTCCAAACGCCTTATTTGTTTACCAATTAACATATTTATGGTAATAATTTCGTCATATGATGAAGCCCGACTCATACTTAGTAATTTATGTCTTCTTTTTTTTTGTCTGTCTAGCTGTCTAACTTTAGTGCGACCTCTGATGATAAAAAAGTTTTTTACTTATGATGTATTTGGTTTTTAAGTATTTAAGCTTTTTTATCGTTATATTTAATACTTAAGTGAATATATAGGTTTTCTACTTATTCTAAATTAGATAAGGCAACATAATGTTTTGCAAAAGAAAGTCGACAAAAATATACTTAAAAGGTTGTCTCAGTGTTTCATTTATAATGACTACAAATGATATTCGCAGGAAGCTGATATAGATATAATGTTTATTTTAATCCATTGATATTGAAATAAACCCCGCTAAAGACTCTTTTTATCAAAGAGGTATGTTTTCAATCTAGAGAGGTCGGTAAACTTATTTAATGATGAACTGAAAACTCAAAAACATTTGACATTCCTCTTGAATCATCACAAATCAGATAATTTGATCACAAAATCGACAAAAAAAAAAAAAGGTGGCCTACAAAAATTTAGGTACGTTTGGCGTGACCTTCATCGTTTGGCGTGACATGTCAAAACAACGAGGTTATATAGGCCAAATGACCCAATATTTTAATAGATGTTTTTTTTTCTCGATTTTATGATAAAATTATCTTACCATATAGTGAGAAACAAATTTTTATTCATGAATGTTTAATAACTCTGGGAAGTCCTGCCATGGTGAATAATAATACTATGGTATTCACTATGGCAGACACCCAATAATTAGTCTAAAAGCAAGATGTTGCTGTACATGTTATATAACTAGATTTATTATAACATGAATTTTGAAACTGACGATGGAGCACATTAGTTTTAAGCCATGTTTCCACAAGATCATTAAGATTGTGGTTCAGAAGATTGGAGTAAATATCCCGAAACATGCAAACTTGTAAACATGCAATTTTGATAATACAACAAGTATATTCAATTGTTGCTAATTGGAAGTAATCATTGCCAAATAACTAAGTTCAATATCTCATTAAATTAATGAGAAACTCCGTATTTCTGAGATAAGATGAGACCATTCAAGTAGTTTTAGGGGGATGTTAATAATTTGATCTTGTATATAGGTAGGACTGAGTTTTTTTTTTTTTTAATTTACTTATCTTTAGGTTATTTTATTTTTTATTGTACATAGTTTTCGATTATTATTTTACTTTTCTTAGTTTATATTTTCTGTATATATGGTCTGAATGTGTTCATACATCACTATAATTACTGTCTACTTGACAGATTATTATATTTCTAAATAAATAAATAGAAAAAAAATTGATAAAAAGGGAGACGGCTTTATAGCGGACTAAAAGTATAGAAATAAAAGACTATTCTGTCCCCTAAGCTACGATACTGTGACTTTTCTTATTTATTTTTTAAATTTGTTTATTGAGAAATATTACAATTAAGGGCGTTTATAATAGTGTTCTTACCATACTTGTTTATTAGGAAATATTACAATCTGTCTAAATTTAGGATATTTATAATAGTGTTCCGTGAGGACATTACCACTTCTTTATGTACATGTAATTTAATGTAATAAACCCAGTACCTCGTACTTAGTCGCATTACTAGTATTAATAAGCAGTTCTAGTTTTAATAAATAGAGTTGTGTATAAATAAATCTGTACCCCGAAGTTAAAGAACACAATGTCCATTTTTTTAATAAATAATTTATTAATTTTGTTTTATTGAAATTTAAAACTGTAAACATATAATAACTGGTAAATCTGCTGTAGGAATGAATAGCATGAAAGTATTTGTGAAGAAACTACCTAAGAAACTACTGACTGATGACACTTCAAAGATAAATTAATTTAGGAGGTCACTTGGCCATCTTCTTTTCGGACGCCTCGGAGGGCTGTCAGGAATTGTATTGGATGAAAGGTTACAAACTAGAAGATTGGGGTGACCAAAGAGTTTGGAATGAAAAGAGGTATATCTAGTTCGGGCAAAGTCTTCCACAAGAGGAATGGTATGGTCTTCATGGATGATTATATCTGTTACATAATAAGGACCATTTAGGATTTTACGGAGTATTTTGGATTGCAAGGATTGGATACGGGAAGAATTTGATGTATTTGTAGAGCCCCAAAGCTCTATACCATATGTCCAAATGGCATGTCCAAATGATGATTTTAGTGTAAAGAAGTTTTTTTGTAGAATATTGGAAGTTTAGAGCGTTTGTCAAGTAAGTGTTGTAGTAGTCGGAATCTGTTGGCAGTTTCTTGTCTAGTATGAAGATTCCAGGTAAGGCGTTCATTAAGGAGTCCTAGGTAACGGGACTGTTAGACAGGGAACAGTGGAATATTGTTAAAGGATACGGTAGGACAGGATGTTGTAGGTTTACGACGAATTAATCTCCATTCAAACGAAACTAAAAATCTGACCTAATAACAATTTTAAAACACAATACTTCTGAAATATTTGTTTAATTATTTTTTTTGTGTGTTTTAGTAACAGGTTTTTGTTCGTTAAAAATGTAAATTCTTGTTATAGTTTACAATCATTATCGCTTCAATTCTGATTTTATAAATTATTTAACAAGCTTTTTTTTTTTTTTTAAATAAATGTTAATACACTAATGGGTGATAAATATTCAGGGCTCAATCATTATAAAGTTTTGGATTGGATCGTAAGGATTGGATACGGGAAAAATTCGATGGTTTTTTAGAGCCCCAAAAATTTAGTAACTAAAAAACAAAGTTATAGAAAATTGGCTCCTTGAACTAATACAAAAATGGACATGGACTTTAACTAAGGGAAATAGATATTAAAATTGAAAGGCATACATCTTAATTTATGCCCAAGCCAATAAATGTGACTAGATGCCATGTTTATTTTTTTCCCATCCGGTTAGCGAGAGGAATATTTCGCTGGCTGATCCTGACCCGGTTAGACCGCCCCGCGGAACTGGGCGAGGTGGCAGGCGGCCGACAGGTGTTATTTACCTGAGATAGGAGCTCACCTGTGCCCGTACCCCAGCAACTCTAATTACCTGGAGCAGGGGCCGAGGCAGCACTTAGTGATGGAGTTGTCCAGATCAGGATGCTAACTTCAAGAGAACTACAGCTGTTTCTTAATAGCTATGATCGAAAAATATCGATGTACATCGATAATTCGAACTCGTCAAATATTAACTTGTAACTAACTTGTAAATCGAAAAAATTCTGTATTTCGATAGCTCGATAAGTCGAAATCCTTTTTCGTAACACTAGGGGCAGAGAATGTTCTATAATTCGAACTAGACTACGTCGCCTCCTTATAATCAGCAAGTGTGCTGGAAATACAAGACAAAAATGACATGTCAGGCATGAGGATGGAAAGTACTCAGCAACACCTCTCCTCTCAGACTTGTTTCAATTACTTAGGTTGTTTAAGGAAGGAGATCTCTCATCCAACGCCTTTTTAGTCACCTTCTCATATTCTGTGGGATATATCAGCTGTGGCTATGTATCTTATTAATCTGCTGTGATGTCCGTTTAAATTAGTATGAATTCGTTGGTAAAAGGTCCTTATATGTTGGTCAACTGTTGGAAGGTGGAGGTCAGTATGCAGAGTTACATTAGTCACATATCATCGTACTTTTTTTATGAGTCGCAATGATTTTGATAAGAAGGTTTAAAGTTTTTGTAGATGGGTCTTTTTAGCGATACCGTATATTTATGATGAGTATGTCCATATGGGTTTAAGAAGTGTTGCCCAAATGAGGAAACAAGACGAGTCTTGGATCCAGGATTTAATTTGGGAAGGGGAGGGCTTCAGCCCGAAAGCTTTTTATTTCATGTATGTATATATATATATATATAACAATAATTAATTTTAAAAAACAAGAAAGAGATCACCTAAATATACGAACTGATGTTTAAGTTGGTTCTTAATGGTTCTTGAAGTTCTCTTAAATGTAATTACACGAACAAGAATACTTTAAGAGATATTTTTAATATTTTTTTTTTTTCTGTAAAATATGGTTATATTTTACCATTTTGGGGAGGAGAGGCTTCAGCCCGAAAGATCCCCTGTAGATCCGCCTGTGGTCTTGCGCAAGTCTCGCAGTTACCTATTAGCTTATTACTATAGAGATATTACTGTACTATTTTAGATAGCAGGAAACTAACTAAGGCCGAATACAAAATTAGAAGAGTTAAATTAAAAAGTATATTGGTTATGCCAATTCTTTTGCCTTAATTTTTATTTAAGATCTTGATTTTTTTTTTTTTGCCAGTTTCGGTCTTGACCTTGAAAAGTGCAAAACCAAGACCGATTTTGGGCAAAACTACTCTAGACGGGTGCATCATGCTGTATCTCACATAGAAAATAAAATATCAGGCTCAATAAGCCTAATTATTTATATTTAAAAAAAAATGATTTCTATTTTACCAATCTTGGTTTTAGTCTTGCAATAATTAGACGGTCTTGGTCTTAGTCTTGCACTTTTCAAGACCAAGAGTATGTATATGTACTCAGTTTTGAAGATTTGGAAAAAAATGATAAAGTATTTTGAGTCGTTTGTTAAGCGTCTTACGTTTCATTTTTATATGCGAGCCCCATGTCATCCTTCTGTCGAAGGTGAGTATAAGGTAAAGTACCCTTAAATATAATAAAAACTCTTAATAATACTATTTTTTTTCTTTCTTCTTGATAACTAAGTTGTTGAATCGATGTGATACTTTCCATTATATTGAGGCATTCATTGTGTTTAGAGGTTTCCTGATGGATTGCTCCTAGCTACATGCCCAGCTCATCTTAATCTCTCAGCCATCATACCAGGAAATATTGATTGGCCAGTTTCTGTAAGCAGTTCTTTATTCGTTCTTCTTCATGCGTCAAAGCGGAGAATTTCACTCTCAAAAATTTTAATACATCACCTAAGGTGTTGGCAAGTGTCTAGATCTCGCAGTCGCATATCAGTACAGGCTTTATAATAACGTAAGTAAAATTAAATTTCAGTTTAGCAACACTTTTTTATTTGAGCAAGGCGGTTCACGTACAAAAACACGGACCATTCTCTAGGACTTTGGATTAGGACTAAAATAATCTTAAAACCAAGTATATCTGTTTAAAAAAAAAAACGGATTTGAAATTTTTGACGATCGTAATAGGTAAGCTGAATCCAAGAAAATAACATATAAATCTTTAAGTTTTTAGCCACAATAATTCAAAGACATTTCCTTATGAATGTCCAGTAGTGCATTAATTATAATTTTTAATATATTAACCTGGTTATTTTTTTTTTGTTTTATTCTGATTATTTCGGATTAATGAAGATCTCGCAGTTTGATGTATAAATTCCCCCTCTCTCTCTCTCTCTCTCTCTCTCTATATATATATATATATATATATATATATATATATATATATATATATATATATACCTAGACTGGTAAGAGAGAGTATAGAGAGACGACGGATCAGCTGAGCGCGGTGGGGTGAGTGGAATGCGAAGCCGCAGGTGAACGCACTGCCAAGGCCGTATCATTCAACTCTCCTCTCTCTTCATTCACTCTTCTTGAAGGGGTCAGCTCTAGTATTCGGCTCTTAGTATAGTATTATAGTATATTCAGGTAGTTTATTATAATATAAATACATAAAATAAAAGATAAATTTAAAATTAAAATAAAATGTAAGTATAGTCGCTGTATACAGTAAAACGTACAGGCTGTTACGTAAGAATAAAGGGTTAATATAGTCGCTGCACGTAGAAAATCTTTTCGGTTACTGTCTAAAAATAATATATATTATATTGCTAAATAAATATTTAATTTAAGAAATTATCATTGATTCTACTGACCATCGGAGGTTATATTATACTATAGTCCGTAGTACAGACAACTTTTTATCAAATTATTAACATCAGTCTAAAACGTTGTTAATGATTTGATCTTATTCTAATCTTCAACTATTTTATTTACGAAAATTCACGGAATTCTGGCTTTTTCAATCTGGAAGTGGGCAAACTTTGTGTATTTAATTAGGTACTAAAAATTCGTGAATACCCATTTGCTTTCCATTAGGATCGTAAGATAATTTGAGAACAAAATCGAGAAAAAATTTGGTCTTCAAAAATATTGAGCCGTAGGTGTGAACAAAAAGAAACAGGGGTAATTAAAAAAACTACTTAAATACACATGCTTTTATACAATATCCACAAAATTCACAACTATTTTACAAAAATATTGGACTCTTTGGCGTTACCTCCATATTCATTAAGTAGGTTCAATACTAAGCGTAAATCACTGGAATCCATCGATGGAATTAGCGCTTATTAATATGAACAGACTCTTTTAATTATTAAATAATGTTAATTCTTAGAGTTCTAATTTTTGTTAACATTATAGTTTAATGCTTTTATATATATACAAATTTTAATATTAATATAGCTGTAATCTATACAATTAAATATTAAATAATATCAGCAATAGCATTTATGAAAACCATATATGTATATTTGCATAACACTGTCGCAGCCCTTATTATATTGAGCTCATATTATGTATGGAAGCGTGTTCTAATCTTTCGGGTGAGCTGTGATGTGCTCGTATTTCTTTAGTTCCTGAATTACAATTATTCTCCGTTACTATTTCTAATATCTCCTTTAGTTAATTATCAAATTATTTCACATTTCATATTCAACTATCTTTTATATTAACGATTAATGTGAAATTGGCAATTGTTTGAAAAAAAAAAAATGGTACTTTAGGGGAAGCTAATATTGAAAATTAGACATATAAGCTCTACTAGAGAACATCAATCAGAATAAAACCTACATTTTATTTAAAACTGCTTAATTTTATACAAATACAATAAATTTAAACAAAATAGTTAGAGCCGTTTTCAAGAAAATCGTAAAAATGTGTTTAGTCAATGATACAAAGTACCACTTGCGGTTTTCCTATTTTGAGGAAAAAGTTGCAATAATATTCCAAGCATATAAAAAGCTTAAATATACAATTTCACTTTCATAAGTTTTTGTTTTTGAGCTAGACTGATAATATACATACACACAAACCATTCCACGGGACTGTGTTATTTGGACTCAGGAGACCTCAAAACATATACATGTCTGTTATAAATTCAGATTCAAAAATGTTCACTATCGCTACTATGCATTTCATATATATATATGTAAGTGAAAGTATGATTATAAACTGCTCACATGTGGTCATGTCCTGCACTGTTGGAGTCAAACTAAAGAGGAATAGTAAATAAATATTTATGATTAATCGAAGACCAATAAGGCTGAAAAAGTATTATCATATACCAAGGTTATTATGAATTGTTATTATTAATGATTCTTAACATTATCAAGACTTTAAAAAATAAAACTTCCAATGAGAAAAATTACATCTGATTATTTCAACAGAAAGACTAATTATTAATGGATTAGCAACAATTAATAGATAATAGACACTTGGTTTTTCAATTTTTAAAAATTATAACGAGTTTTCGTTTTTGAGCTAGGCTATTAACACACACACAGAGACCATTTTGTGGGACTTGGTTATTTCACTCAAGGGACCTCAAAACTGCATTTACGTTGAAAACTTTTCCTTATTATATATTTCATGTATAGGTCAGTGATTAGGGCGGGGTGGAAAATGGTCTAATTCAGAGCACCGCGAGTTGCCTGGCAACCAGATAACAGAAATTTGAGAGATTAAAAAAGTACGAGTTCGCGTCCCGGTGCCGGAGAGGGTTTTTAAATTACTCGCCCTTACACCCCGGCCCGGAAAAATCCCATATAGCCTAAAAGGCGATGTAGGGAAGAACAGGAAAAACAAATATATATATAGGTAAATGAAAGTAAAAAAGAGTAACCAATTTAAAAGTGAAAAAAAAAATTAAATTTTATTTATTTTTTGATAATTTGATATCAAGATGATCTTTTTCCTTATTATCGACACTGTTAAAACCGGGCTTCAAACGGAAAGCACTGGCTGTCCTAAGGGCGCGAATCGATCCGTACCTCCCGAGCGAGGTAAGATTAATGCCCCCGCCCCGACAGCTAATAAAGGATGACATAAATCGCAGATGGGTCCCAGCTGACCCCGGCCA